GGTGTGTGTTGGTTTTGTTGCTGTGTGTGTGTGTTGGTTTTGTTGGTGTGTGTTGGTTTTGTTGGTGTGTGTTGGTTTTGTTGGTGTGTGTGTGTTGGTTTTGTTGGTGTGTGTTGGTTTTGTTGGTGTGTGTGTTGGTTTTGTTGGTGTGTGTTGGTTTTGTTGGGGTGTGTTGGTTTTGTTGGGGTGTGTGTTGGTTTTGTTGGAGTGTGTGTGTTGGTTTTGTTGGTGTGTGTGTGTTGGTTTTGTTGGTGTGTGTTGGTTTTGTTGGTGTGTGTTGGTTTTGTTGGTGTGTGTGTGTTGGTTTTGTTGGTGTGTGTGTTGGTTCCCGCCCCCACGGCCAATCAGCCAATCAACAGCTGACTTGAAGTGGCGCCGGCCAATGGGACTAAGGCTCTTTGGTTCTGTTGGGCCTGAATAGAAAAATCGTGAGTTTAAAACTAGAAATTCAGTCCCTTCCTTCGTACCTAATTACTTTTACTCAGTTACTTTTTATAATTTTTTTTCAGGATGTGGATTTCTGTGTGTTTTTGGTTATTTTAGTCCCTGGGTCTGCATGTCTTGCCCTTCATTGATCCCAGTTTGTCTCATTCCATTGATTATTGCTTGTATTCATACTCACCTGTGTCGGACCCTTGTAGTTTTCCAGTGCTACCAGTGTTTGAGTTTCTAGCTTCAGTGCTCACCTGTGCTGCCTGGACTTTTGTACTCTTTGGCGATCTTCATTAAATCATCAAACTGCCTCTATCTCTCTGCTTTTGGGTCCAAACCTCTGAAACTGCAAATCATGACAGAAATATTATTTTCTACCAAAGTTTAGATTCTTGACCAAATGAAGAACCAGGACTAATAAAAACCATGAACGCTTCAGAACCAGTTCCTGTTGAAGTCAGACTTTATGTTTCAATACAATATTTTCCATCTGCTAAGTTTGGAGGCAATATTAATATAAATATTACTATAAATATTACTATAAATAGTCGATATTACTACTAAAAGCACTTAGTTCTAATATGGAAACGTGACACTTGTAATGTCTGTTTCTTTTATTTTGTAATAAATTTATTTGTACTAATTTCTTTTATTTAAAACAAAAGTTGCAAAAATGTTATCATTTCTGTCATGATTTGGAGAATGAGAGGTGGTGAGGATGAACGCAGGAACCCAGGTTGTAGAAGAAATGATGAATTTAATGATGAAAGCTCAAACAGTCCAACACAGGCGGCACTGCACAGAGATTAGCACACAGCTAATTACCGGTAGCTACTGATGCACAGAGGACTGAAAAACGAGAGCTAACGCTAACCAGGACTTAGCAGTTCTACTGGAGAGGCGAGACGTGAGACGACAACAACTGACATTAGACGAGGACCCGACAAGAGACAAAGGACACAGGTGGGATCAACCAACAGGGAGGACAGGACACAGAAAAAAAATAAATAAATACATAAAAACAGATCGTCACAGTTTCATTTTCACAAATCTGTCATGATGCGTCAAACCACCAAAGATCCTGACAGATTCAGGCGATCAAACAGCTTCAGTCACATTCTTATCAAAGGCTTTTTACTCCGATTGAGATTTGACTTTAGCTGAATGAAAATGGTGGAAAGCAGCAGCTCATGAGGCGTTCAGGCTGCGCTCTCCGTGAAACACATTCTGTGTCAGGAAGATAGTCCACATATCAAGACATGAAGCCTTGGATTCATTTGAAATGTGTGGCTCTGAGGAGAGGCTGAATCCTGACTGGAGCAGCAGATGGACACATGAAACGTCACAGACTCAGTTCAGGAAAACCTCAATAACGTTTGTTTTTCTGGATTTTGTCCAGACGGATTGTGACGATAATCACTAAAGCTTGTTTGGAAACATTTATGTAGAGTTTGGTTTGAGGGTAACTGAGCCGACAATAAAGTTGCTGAAGCATAAAAACGAAGGAAGAGCAGCTGATGGAGGCTGGGAGGTCGGACTGACTGGAAACATTTTCTGCTGGCAGTGAAGACGAGGAGGAGGAGGAAGAGGAAAAGTCGTTCACAGGTTGAAATTCCACAAGGGGTTCTGAGTGAAAACTGGAAAAATGGGAAAACCTGCAGGACCAAGTTACACCAACTGGAAAGGAAAACGCATCAGAGCTGCAAGCCGGAGCAAGAGGAACTAAAGAGGAAGAGGAGGATGAAGACACGGGATCATTCTGAATCCTGCAGATGTGACACGAACCAAAACCTGAGTAAAAATATCCTCATCCAAATAAGACTAGGTATTTAGATGTTTTTAGTTTAANAGACATAAAAATACGACCCAGTTAAAATTACAGTTGGATGGAGGTTAAAGTTAAACCAGTCGGTTCTGCTACAACTGATTGAGATGAGAATTGATTCTCTGCAGATGCAGTGAGTTCAGGTGAGAATGTGGTAAAAGCTGCCAGGTGAGTCTCAGAATAAAACATTTCAGCAGCTGAACCAGAAAAACATCCTGAAGCAAACGATAAACGTAATTTAGTCAAAAACCAACATCAAACTCATCCTGAAGTTTGATGAGTTTATCGTTTGCTTCATAGATAAAAGAGCATAATAGTGACTGGAGCACTGGTTGGTGCTCCAGTCATAATAGCTAAGGGGTGTTAGCCAGGTGTGTTAGCCGGGTTTGTTAGCCGGGTGTGTTAGCCAGGTGTGTTAGCCGGGTGTGTTAGCCGGGTGTGTTAGCCGGCCGTCTCACCTGTTTGGTCATAGAGTCGATGAGCCGGACGTAAAGATCCTGTTCGGTTCGGATTCCTGAAAACCCAAAAAGCAAAAATAGAGAAAAATGAAACCAAACGTTCTGGGAGCTGACACAGCATCAATACATGAACACATGAATACATGAACACATGTGTCCAGATGTCCTGCAACAAACTGAGTCCTAATAACATTTTGTATCGAAACGCTGCAACAATCTGCCAGTTGCTGCTGTGTTACCCTCCCTGCCCCCGCAGCATTAGCGATGCTGCAGCGGTTTATCATTATTTATAGGCGGCCGCCCCCCCCCCCCCCATCTGCCCCCCGCTGCCTCCACCAGATCGAGGAGTCCTCGCTCTCAGACATATTAAATATCAATCAGGACTGCTTGTGTTTTATTAGCGATGCATCGGGGCGTAAATGTGACACCAACGCGACATGGGGCGGAGGAGGAAAATTGCCGGGAACACCTGTTAGCGGTGCGGCGCCTCTAATTGTACTGGAAGAAATGGGTTTGCGCCTCCTCGTAGTTTGGGCCGTTTCTTCTTCTCTGCTTTCTAATTGACATGATTCACTCCTCGCTCTGCAGCCTAAATGGCGTCTATCCGTCCCGGTTGCAGATGAGGTCAATTACCTCCGTACCATGCTAATCCGCCACTGCGTATTACGGGGATTTATTGGCCCGAGGAGCAAAACGCTCCTTTATGTCCCACTTTATGCGGGTCTTCTGCGGGGGTCTGGACCTGGCCGGCGCGGGCCGAGCCGAGTGTTTCCAATCAGCCAGGATCCCCGGACCACGCGATGGACGGACCAGTCTGCTCCGTCACACATTCCAGATGTCTGCAGCTCTGATAATGAGAAACTTTTTCCAGACTTTAAACTGCTCAGCTGAGGTGACCTTTAATACACATCTTAAATCATGTGAGTCGCACTGCCTCACCTGGGAAAACGGCGATCATTAACTGGACTTCATCAATCCATGCTGCAAATCTCAGCTGCTCAAAAAGGCTGAATTTGGGCTTATTGTGGTTCAGTTTGTTCAGCAGAAACCAAAGATAAAAACCTGCCTGAGGTTCTTTCAGCTGCCGGCCTGACGTCAGACAGAAACCAGGAGAACCAACTGCCGGTCCACAGAGGAACCGCCAGCATCCCTCAAACTGCTCTGATGATATGATGGTGACTGGATCAGAACCAACTCATCAGAACTTTCCTGGTTTCCTTTCTCTTCACCAGCTCTGAGAAAAGTCTTCAAACGTTTCACATCATGGAAGACCTTTGACCTCACAACAAAGCCTGGTTCTGGTTCTAGATGGGTTCAAACTGGTCCAGGGACTAAAGTGGGTGGACAACATCCAGGGGGAAGGTGGAAGACACCAGGACTGACAGGGTCAGAGTGTGACCCCCACTTGGAGGCCCCAGTCCTCGACTCTGCCATCATGGGTTCGAGTCCTGGCCTGTTGACTTTTGCCACAGTTCAACCATCTTCCTGTCAGATAAAGACCATTAAAGCCAAAAATCCTTAAAAATACATCTGATGCATTGAACCTCCTGTGGTCAAGGCAGACGTTACAGTCGGAGCGCCGAGAAGAGGGGGTTGTCCTGTCAGCAGGGGCACCGCACAGGGGGGAAACGTTTGGAGGATTCTAAGGGCCCCTGACCAACCGGGGCCCTCCACAAAATAACTTTCTTTTTCATGGAAATTTTTAAAAATTGGGCCCCTGTCAATTACAAAATTAATCATATTGTGTTTTCTAAAATTGTTTTTAGCAGTAAAAATGTAATGTTACCCCTCCCAGACCAAAAACACACATCCATATTTGCCCTGAACCCCCCTGGATCTGCATGAAATGGATCGTTCCTGCTTGGCCTTGACTGTGACTGTTCAGCAGCAGACAGTGGAAGACGAGAACGACTGGCTGTTACTATGCTGCTAAGAGAAATGATAGTTAGGTTTTTAAAAAATAGAGAGGGAGAGAGAGAAAGACGAGTGTTAATTTATAACCCAGTTTTTCTCTGAGAGGTGAGTAGACTGTATGAGATTATCAACCATTTAGCATAGTTAGCTTAGCTACAGACTACTGTTTGCCTCCTTTTCACTAGCATTTAATGAATTAAGGAAAGAAATTACCAACATGTTCATCTATTTAACTTATTCCCTGGGCCTTTTACCACTTAACAGATGAATCGGTCAGCAGCAGCTCTAACCCACGTCCCTCCTGACCCGTCCTCTCCTAAGTGAAATTAAAGCTGCATTATGCAACTTTTATATATTTTTTTCAACATATTTTTTAAAACTGTCATTATGTTGTGACAGTACGGTATGAGAGGTAATCTGTGAAAAATCTGTTTCCTCTGCTTTCCCCCAGTGCTAGAAATGACCAATCAGAGGCAGGAGAGTTTTAGTGCTGTCAATCACCATCTCATGAGGTGTTGCTCATCCTCCCTGCCCCTCGCTCTGTGCCATGCTGCAGCTAGCATAGCCTGTTGTGAATGCTCAGTCTGGTTAGCATAGCTACCAATGACGGCAGATAAACATTTTTCCTGTAACAATAAGTTGTTTCTCCACCATTAGCACATTTAGCAGTGAGTGAATGAGGATGATTGACAGCGCTAAGACCCTCCTCCTGGTTCTCATGGGTTGTTTTTGGTCAGAACGGTGCATTACTTTAGCTAACAGTAGTTCAGGGAGGAGATGGAGGAGATTGATCTTTTCACAGATTATCTGTCTCATAACAAACTGCTACATCATGACAGCTTTAGCAAATATGGAGAAAACATATTTTTTATTAAAGTTATACTGCAGCTTGAATAACATGCAACTACATAGGATTTTTAGAAGTCTGGATTGTTTTGTGTGTATTTTGCATGTTGTCTATGACTGTTGCTCATGGGGAGACATTTCAGTATCTAAAACTGATAGAAAGAATTTAAGCAACCACCTTACATACTGGATGTGGACTGTTGGATGTAAAATTCAATAGCAGTGAATATTGTGCTAGTATCAGTATTGGACCAAAGAAAGCAAGGCAAGCCTTTAAAATTGTGATGCTTTTTATGGGTCAATTAGACTCAAAAAATTGTAACAGCAGCTGTGAGAAGATCTCCTGTTGTCAGAGGGTTAGAGGAAGACTATTACGATGGCTGAAACAATCAGAGCAAAAATGTTACTGTTGAAAGAACCTATTTTCTTAAGTTAAAGAATAAGTAATTCTGTTTTAGTTTTTCAATCAGCATTTCAGAGTAACAATATACTGACCAGACGTTAAACCCTCTGAAGAACAAGTTATCTTTGTTTTATTCCAATGTACAAAGGGTTTGTTCTACAGCTATGATGGTAGTTATAAGTAGTCCAGTGTGTTAATAACTGTGTTATTAAAGCATTTGACACTCTATTAACACTTAATGACACCTGTAACAAGTCCAATGTTTAAGGGAAAATATTAATCAAACAATTATAACAACCTCATGACTGTCACAGTTAAGACTAACAACATTTTAAGTTTTGACAATTGAAAACTATTATTACATATTTATGACAAATTATGATTCTTGGTTAATGTCAAGTTGTCATAGACATTTTGAATAATGTCAACTTTGCATTAAAAGTGTCATTATTTACTGAATGACACTTTATGACAAAATTCATAAATATTAATGAAAACTTATTCATGTTTATGTGTCATGTCAGTCTCATGCACAACCCGTCAAATGAAGTGATACGATTCAGTGCAACTAAACGAGTTTTGTTGACATTCTGTTATTCCAGGAAATGATTCCTGTAGTGCTTCATGCACACAGTGAGTTTAAACAGACTGTCATCTTAAACAGCAGAACCCGACCAAAACCACCATCCATGAAAACTTGACTTAACAGAGACATTCAGTAAAATATGCAGGCCCAAAGAACCAGAACCAAAGCTTGATTAGACCGATTCACTCGTGCTGGGAAATAATGTGGCTCCTAAATGCTTCTGATCAAACCCACTGTCTGTTCCAACTGGGCCTCGGCAGGTTCTGCTGGACTTACCGTTGCTGTAGAGCAGCTGGAGGCGATAGTGGATCCCGTTGTTGGTCTTTTCTCCGTTATATTCCTGCCACACAGAAGCAGAAATCCTGCTGTAAACATCTCACACCAAGTCTGGACCATATCAGGGTCTGGGTTCAGGGTCAAGGGTTAAGGTCAGGGTTACTGATCAGATTAGTGTGACACTGAGGAATCATTTCTCCTGGAAACCCCGTTCTCTGAGATTTGGGAAAATTCATGTAATGGAGCCTGCAGGAATCACTGCGATGGGACAAACTTTATGTTTCAGAAAACTGATCGGACGAGAATTTGAAATAATGAATTAACTGAGTCAATGTTCGGACTCCCTTCATGCAGCCTGGACCAGTTTTTGGCCCTCAGTCCTGGACGAAGCTGGACTGAGGGCCCTGCACACGTTCATCAGATCAAGCAACACTGACACAGAGTTGGAATATATTTGGATACTGCTGTCCTTTCCCTGCCTTCCTGACCTTCTGCTCTCCTTCGTCCCAACATTTATTCCCCATTTTATTTCTCTCCTCCCGCGTCAGAGCCTCACCGCTCGGCCGTGCGATGCCAACCGTGCCTGTGAGCGCTGGCCCAGTCCCAGTGCATAGGGCCGAGAGACTAGAGGTCAAAGCCGAGGTGAGCGAGTGGGCGGACAAAGTTGGTGCCAGCTGGCGGCAGATCAAAGAACAAACAGCTCGAACCTGCCTGGATGTTAGGGTGACTCTGGCTTCACTGAGAGGCAGCAGAGAAACGTTCACACTGATGGGAAAACGTCAGGATTCCTTTACAGGGAGGAAAACTGAAGGTTGCACCAATCAGCCAGGAAAATCCAATTTAGGATCTGTTCCTTGTCTAAATGGGTCTTGATACAGCTCCTCACAGACTCCTCTGCAGGTCTGCTGGGCTTTCTAGCTCAGGAATGTCAGACGTTCTGGAAGTTTTGGGCCCTCCAGAACATTTCAGCAGGAGCCAAGTAACGTCATCCTGCTGGGTGGGGCTGCTGCGTTCAGGAACACGGAGCTGGACCTGAAATAACCTGAATGTTGGAGCCAATCTCACTGCCCTCACCAGCTCACCTTCATCCCCAAACCCTGGGGATCCAGGGAACGTTTATGGGTTATATTGAGCCCCAGAGCCATGTTGGAGCCGGGTTAATCATAACCTGGGTCATGGGGGACACTGTGGTCAGGAATAGTCTTCAAGTAAGTTTCGCATAGCAGAAGTCGCCAGATAATGTTCAGAAATGCAGCATGAAGTCCAAACAGTGAATCCAAAGTTACCTTGTCTTTCTCCACAAAGTCTATGTAGGAGGTCCGCTCGATCTCCACCGGCTGGCCCTGCCGGTCGTACAGCGCCAGCACAAAGTGGAAGAAGTTGGACTTCCTCAGGTTGGATGGAGGCTGCTTCTCAAAGTGGGCCCGGGCCAGTCCAACGCCGCTGAAACACACAACAACAGGCTCTCATCAAACATGGCGGACCTGCAGGTTGTAGCTTTCTGGTTTCATCCTGACTTCAGGTCTGACAAATCTGCAGTAACCAGGTTTAATTCAACAGATCTGAACGTCTGGTGGGTCGACACCCTGCGTGTTCTGGATGCGTCCTGCTTCGACACACTGTGAATGGATCGCTGAGTCTTTTCTAGAACATGCAGGAGAAAATTAGGACTCATCTTCATTATGACGACACTGAGTCTCATCTCATTTTCACTTTGACATCAGCAAACGTGTCTCTACATGAAGTCGGCTAATTGTTGTGAAATTATGTGTGATTCTACATGAAAACTCTGAGAAACACAAGAAAACATTAATCATAGGCGATAAAGGAGGATTTAATCAGAAGCTGAAAGAGTGTAGATCCAACAGAGACGCTGCTGCACCGTCTACGGCAGGCTGTTAAGGACAAAAAGATCAACTTTGTTCATTATTACTGGAAATGTATCTGGCCCAATTAAATGATATAAAATCAGGTTATGGAGAATAAAAGGACTGTTCGCTCCTGAACGCACCTGGACCAGACAGCAGCTGACCTAACGTCCCACTTTGGACCAATCAGAGCAGATCTTGCTGTTTTAAAGTCACAGAGGATTTTACAGTGAAAAAGGTGAATTTGAGCTCAAAAAACAGAAGATAGTTAATTATTTAGTTCAAAAGTGACAGAAGAAACACAATGAACTCATTTCCTGTTTTAAGGAAGAGAATATTTATCAATTTTCCAAAAATTCAACTCATGCAAAAATCAACATCTGAAAAAATTTAAATATAAAAATTAAACTCCTTAAGCAAATATTTCTCTTCTTATTAATGATGTAAAAATCACTGGGGTCAGAGGTCATCTAAGCGATGATTTAAAGCCTGTGTAAAATGAGCTTCAGGTCGATGTTCCTGCAGGAGGCGACCTCTGACCTTTGCTGGCAGGAACTCAGAGCCAACAGGGAAAACGCTCCAAACAGCAGCCAAATATTTTCACATCAATCTCATTTCCTAAAACACTTCATGATCAATAAAACGCCAGATCACGGAGAAATATTTATTCATGCTCTGGGTTTGTTTTTGGAAAGTTGCCGGCCGGCTCTCCCGTTGCTTCCTGGCTCGGGGGTGTTTTCCCCAGACGGCAGATTAATACAGCCCTGACCTTTCTGAGCCTCCATTACCGATGCTTAATGCCTCATTTGCAGGCCGGTTGGTTGAAAGCGAATTCTCCTGACTCCCAGCGTTTGGCCCGCCGGACGCAGAGTGGAGAGGCTGCAGAGGAACTCCAGGCGGAGCGGCAGCTCAGGTGCGTTTGGCCGTTTTAATGGAGGCTCGCTGGGAATAGGAGCCGCCGAGTGTCGAGATAAAAATAACAGCAGCAGAAAGACGGCGGCCATGACTTCAACACTTCCAACATCAAATGAAATCAGTGTGTTCCTGTGTGAAAAAGCAGCTTCACACCTGTCTGCCAGTACAACCAGCAGCCTCCTCCAGCTTCACACTGGAAACAATGGGAGCAATAAATCCTTAAACATCTGAGAGGAAATTGGCTCAGCTGCAATCATTAATCATGACGGTTATTTTTATGAAATATGCTGAAGCAGGTCTCAGGTAAATCTGAACATTTCCTGTTTATTATTCTGCTGAGGAGAGAAAAGTTCAGGTTTTGATGATAAATCACAGATTTTTCTGATTTCTTTAAGATTTATCATGAAATTAAACCATCCACATCTGATCAGACCTATTACTTATTATTAGTAAGTAATAAGTATATTAATAAGTTCATATATGAGAACACCTATATCAGATAATCAGATAATTAGGAAGGGACTAATAATAATAACTTATTATTAGGCAGAGAACAGCAGATTTGTTTCCAGCTTCATCACCGACACGTTGAGCTAAATTTAATCTTTTTTATCTTTTATAATCAGCCCAATACACAAATGTTGCTCTGAAACTCGGACTTGTCCCAACATGGCTGCAGTTTTAATCAGGTGAAGCTAAATAATCCGTCTGAGTTTCAGACAGGAAGGTCGTCACTGTGCGACCCGTTCAGGTTACAGAAGAACCAGCCGGTTCTAATCAGGATCATCAGAACCATGAGAACGGATCAGAAATAACAACAAAGTCGTGTCCTGACCAGTTCCTCTGATCCTCCACCAGCCGGGTCCAATCCAGAACCGAAGGAGACCAGAGGAAACAAGCCGACCCGGTCCGGCACCAAACCTCAGCCCTGCTCCTGTCAGACCCGATACAGCGGTTAGGGGTTAGGGTACAGCGGTCCAGTAGCTAAGATCTGAAGAAAACCAGCAGAGGGCGACAGTGGAGAGGAAGAACCCCTCTTTAACACGAAGAAAGCTCCAGCAGAACCAGAACCAGGCTCAGTTAGGAGTAAACATGTCATTCTGTAGGTCACATTGTGGTTCTGACTTGTGACCCGTTCTCAGACCACGGATGTCTTTATTTTCCATCCATCAATTTCCTAACACTCTTGTCCCCTGTGGGGTCGGGAGGTGCTGCTGCCTCCAGCTAACATTCCAGGCGAGAGGCGGCGTCACCTGTCCAGGTGACCCATCCAGGTGGCCTGTCCGGGTCTCCTGGACGGGTCACCTGGACGGGTCACCTGGACAGGACCTAAGGAGAATTTGGAGAGGCCAATTTACCCGACAGTCATGTTTCTGGACTGTGGGAGGGAGCTGGAGTACCCAGAGAGAACCCAACATGCAAACTCCATGCAGAAAGACCCCGGACCGGGAATCAAACCCAGAACCTTCTGGCTGCGAGGCAGCAGCTCTACCGACTGCACCACTGTGCAGCCCGTCTTTATTTTCCTGCTAAGCATTTCCAGGAATCCCTGACAGATGAGCGTTTTCTCTGCTGATCCTGAGAGAAATCTAGTGAAGAGCCAGATGACAGAAACCTCGGCACATCCGCCGAGATGCGCGTGTCACTTTAAGGAAAACCACGTGACCGATACACTTCCTGTCGTTTGGATGTGACCGCGCCAAATTGTATGGATGAGGGAGAAAGTGTTTTGTTGGACGGAGATACTTTGTGTTCTTGGCCTTGTGTTGGTTTTTAACTACCGGATGAATCAATAGAGGAAGTTTTCTCCCCTGTGGGACCATTTTGATCTTATCACAGAAAATAATGATTATTCGGTTCTCATTTCCACTTTTGATCATTTTTCTTTCAGATTATTCCAGTTCCTTTCTTTTGGATATTTGAATTAGTTTACATGGATGAACTTTTATTGATATTACAGGTGAGATGTAGGATTTACTTCCAGGTTTTGTCTTACTGTAACTGGAGCTTCACCAACAGGTGTTCTGTTTATCTATGCTGCCCATCAATCTATCCTACCTGGTGGCGACGCCATCGATGCTACGTCACACTCTGCTTACTCAGCAAATTTCTTATCCTACCTGTGGAAGTTTCATTTTATGTGTTTTATTTCATCACAGATTACGGTAAGCTTTATTAAATTTATTTTTTTAGTTTACATGACAGCAGTTTGTAAATATATTTATGGCTTTAGTTTGCCGTCTGCAAACCCAATACTACTGTAAACAAGTCATTGTTAATCAGGACAAAATATCTTGTTTTGGTGGCTATTTTGTCCATGTACTTTAAAATATTTTAGTTTAATTACACTCTTATTATTAAACCTTGCTAAATAGATGTTGGTAGCAATACTATGGATTGAAGCTGAAATAACCGTGTAATATTAATGTATCCCACCATTTCATTGTCCGGTGCAGCTGCTGCTGATGACAGACACACAACGTATTAATGCAAAAACAGTTACAGTGATCTCTGTGTTTAGTTTAATTCCAATAAAAACCTGTTTCCCGTCTGATACTGTTTTATTTTTTCAAACGCCTCTGTATTTAAAACATTTTAACAGGTAGGATATTCTAATAAAAATATTACTTTATACATCTATAGCTTTTCATTTTAGACGGAAAGATGTTCAGATGAAGGCAGTGATCTTCTTGTGGTTTCATCAATGATATATTGTTCCAGTGCTAAGCTAAGCAAAACTCCTAAGTTTCCACTTCACTCACTCAAATAATCCAATATATTAATATTAACAACCTGATGTAGTTTTGTTTGTAAACAAACATAGTTATCAATCCGTTCTGCAGTAGGAAAATCTGACAAGGTAGCAATGATAGTCAGAACACCGTGAGGGAGACAAACAGGTCAACACTGGGAGACAAACAGGTCAACACTGGGAGACAAACAGGTCAACACTGGGAGACAAACAGGTCAACACTGGGAGACAAACAGGTCAACACTGGGAGACGAACTCCAGTGTTTCCAGAAAGCAGGAGATTGACCTGGGCCTTCAGCTCAACCACCTGCTCCATGATTGTTAATTGTGTTTATTTCTATTTTAATGTTCTTACAAATCACTTTGTGGTTTTAAGGAAAACCACGTGACCGATACACTTCCTGTTGTTTGGATGTGACCGCGCCAAATTGTATTTTATGCAATTTTATACAGATGCATTTTATTTTTTTCTCCAATGAGAACCTGTGGCAGCAGCTGAACATGGAAGTCGAAGCCAGTTGAAACGTCACCATGACGACGTGATCGAGGTACAAAGATGCATCTCCCAGGCGAACACACCAACATCACAGGGTCCACTACAATACTGGAAACCAAAAGAGCCTATCTTATACAACTGACCAGAACAAACCTTCAGTTCTGGTACCACTGGACTGACGGGCTTTTCAAACTGTTTCTCCAACTAGAGCAGAACAGAAAGACGGCAGCCTGGTGCAGCGGCCCGACCAAAGAGGCTCCTGACAGAAACCCTGAGCAACCAGGAGAAACCAGATATTTTTGGTCTGATGAAACAAAGATTGACTGTCTGGTGAAATCTGAAAATGGCCGACAGACGTCTCTGAACCGAAGCAGCTGGAGAAGAACGGACCCAACCGGCCGTTAGGGGAGTC